ATTTTCAAATTCTCAAAGAAACATAACCACCTGTTTTCTATCTAACACGTGTACATCAATCACTTGACCATATATTCCAACTGCTTGTCTGCTGTGCTGTCAGTATAAAACACAGACAGACCACTACTAAAAATGGTTGTATGGATCCAGCTCATTTTGGCATGATTTACAATAGACCTTGAGAGTTACGAACTGACCAGTCAACCACAGACCTCATTTGGAACCAGAAGTACGCAATCAGCAGCAGCAGCAGACACAAATAAAAAAAGCAAGTACAGTACAGTACTGTGTTAAATGTAAATTACTAAAATAAGGGGGAAAGATTAAAAAAAAAGATTGGCAAGGGAAGGAAACTGTTTTTGTGCTTCTGTCATTTAAATTAAGATGATTAAAACCAGCATTTTTCTTCTGCTTAGTAAAGTTTCAAAGCTGCATAAGTCAGTGTTCAATTGTAAACTTTTGAACGAACCATAACGTTTTGTTCAGAGTTACGAACAACTGCCATTCCCGAGGTGTTCGTAATTCTGAGGTTCTACTGTATCTATGTTGCTGGATAATATCAATATTGTGTACTCATAAATTAGAGAGCGTAACATATTATGCTTGTTCTTTGACTGACTGACTGACAGCTGATTTTCTCAAAAAGAAATTATAGTTAGTATGCTGTATAATCCAAAGTCCCCTGTTTGGCCACCATTTCTGTATATTTCAGGACATGGGGACAAATAATGAACAATTATTATTACCTTTCCCTTTCTGCATCCTCTCTTTTGGAGCGTATGCTAGCCCTTTGCCATTATGGTCCACAGTCCTGAGGTCATATTCGAGCCAATACTTTACTACATCTAGAACTTCAGAGAGCAGTGGTGACCGGATGTGAATCTCACCACATTGCAGTGTTCTGGTCTGGAGACCAGGCAAGGACCACTTGGAGGAACTTTTGAAGAGAAGTTGGATTTCAACTTGTGCAAACTTACCTAGTAGAGTCATTATGAGCATATTACATGGGTCTTCTGTAGTCTGCATTAGTTATCTGTTTACCTTTAGATGAAAATCAAGATATCACTTACTGTCCTTTAAGTTTCTGATGGTCTAGGACCCAATTACCTAAAACTTTTCTTGTGACCCTGTGGGGGGCAGGGGCTCCCTCATGCCCCTCCAGACCCTGCTTCCAATCCTTTATAATGTCTCCCCCTCTCCCCCCACCACGCACGCAGAAGGGGGGTCCTTCGAGCAAACAAACAAACAAGAAAAATCCTCTCCCCTCTCCTGCCCTTACAAGAGAGAGGAGTCTGTAGGAAAACAAAAGAGAGGCAAGGGTGACCTGGATATCAGGCAGTCTTCCTGGGTCACCCCTTTGGGCTTAGTATAAAATGGGGTCTACCTCCAGCCCCACTTCTTGGGACAGACTGCTTTGAGGCTGGGTCATGCAGCTTTGGGAGCAGTGAGCCCTGCTGCTGTCTCCCTCTTGGCAGGCCTATCTCTGCTGTCTGAGTCAAGGCAGCCGCCTTCCTGTTCACTGCCCTTTCCTGTGGCAGGTTTTCTCTTTTAAGCTCCCCGTACTCCGGGCAGAACAAGTCTTGCAGGTGTGCCTCATTGGTGTTGAACAGGCCTAGAAGAGCTTCATAGTCTCCTCTCAGCCAGAGTGAGGGCATGTCCCTTCACATACCCTACCCCTCAAGACGGAAAGGCCGTTCTGGGGTGGCGTCTCCATCCCCGATCTCCCATGGAAAGAAATTGGCATTAACATGGTCTTTTTGTGCTCGGTGTTGCACTCTGAAACTGTATGGTTGTAGCGCAAGGTACCATTTCTTCATGCATGGGTTTGTTTCTTTCATGGAGTGGATCCAGCATAGGGGATCTGTGACCAGCGATAAGGGGTCACTCAACAGGTAATACCTGAGGGAATCCATAACCATAATTTAATTGCTAATGCCTCCTTTTCAATAATTGAGTAAGCCTTTTCTCTAGGAAAGAGCTTCCTACTCAAGTATAGGACTGGGTGTTTTCTGAAGTCATGTGAGAGTATGGCATTGAGCCCGAAGCATCTGTGTGCAGTGTGAACTTCCAGGAAAAATCAGGACTGAAGAGCATGGGCAGCCGGCATAGTTGTGTTTTTAGTTCGCTAAAAGCATCCTTGCATTTCTCACCCCACTGGGTTGTCTTAGTAGTGTTGTTGCCTTTTATGAGGGCCATAAGGGGGCAACGATCAAGGCAAAACTGGAGATAAACCTCCAGTAATATCCTGCCAGCTCGAGAAAATGCCTTATTTGCCTCTTTACGTGGGGAATGGGACACGCTGTTAGGGCCTGTACCTTGTTGACTACTTGTTTCATAAGGCTGCCTTCTATGTTGTACCCCAAATAGGTTACTTCATCTATGGCTAACTTACACTGTGAGTCCCGCATCCTTTAGGGCTTTAATACCACCTTTAAGTGCTGGAGGTGGTCTTCCCAGGTAGAACTATAGACTACGATGTTGTGTATGTAGGCTGCAGCATATTGATGGTGGGGGGCTGAGGATCCTATTCATAAGCTGTGGGAAAACCTCCATGGAAAAGGCATAGTCTTGAATTGGAAGTGTGCTAAAGGGATGGAGAGAGGTGTTTTCTCTTGTGAGGAAGGGGATGCAGGGATCTGCCAATACCCTTTTGTTAAGTTGATAGTGCTTTGGTGTTTTGCCAATCTCATCTACTGTAGTAACTCATCTACCCTTGGCATTGGGTTGGCCTAGAATTTTGAGATGGAATTAACCTTTCTAAAGTCAGTGCAAAACTGAACTGAACCATCTAGTTTGGGAACAAGAATCATGGGGCTCCTCCATTCAGTTTTGGATTCCACAATTACCCCCATCTCCAGCATTGCTCTCACTTCCTCTCAGACTGTGTCCCACATCCTCTGTGGCAATGGTCTAGGGCTCTCCCTGACCAACTGGCATGGGGTAGTCTCTAGATGATGTTGGACCAAGTGTGTTCTTCCTGGGTGGGTGGACAATATTATGCGAAAGCCTTGATCAGATTTGAGGAGCAGCATCCTTTGTGCAGGGGAGAGCCCCTCAGCCCCCAGTACTGTTGGCACTTGTTGACTGCTGGGTACTTAAGGGCCAGAATTCAGGTTTCATCAGAGAGGAAGTTATCAGTGGGGCCATCCAACATTTCCAGGCTTTAAGAAGATTTACATTATAGATCTTGGTTTCTTTCCTCCTCCCTGGTAATCTTTTCTCATAATTCACTGGCTCGATCTGCCTGACCACTTCCAGTGATCTGTCAAGTATGGGGCTAGGATCAAATCCCATTGATCAGGGGCCACTAGGCTGCTAGTGCCACCTTCTCAAATGTAAGTAGAAAGGCTTCAGGGTTATCGTCTGGCCCAATCTTGGTTAGCTTTACTGATACTGACAAGGGAACACTCTTAATGGACGCATGACCTGCTGGAATTCCCTGGGGGCATAGGGCTGGCACGGTCTGCTGTATCATCTTCTTTTGAAAATCCTGCTGCTGGGCCATCAGTTTCCTCAGCAGCTCTTGTTGTTGTGTGGTCTGAACTTGCTGCTGAGTGATCTGCTGCTGCAGCAATTGCTGTTGGAAAATGCTGCTGCTGCATTCTGCTAATTACTTACGCCACCGCTCTTGTTCCATCTTGCATGGACCAGCTGAGCTCTATTCCCTCTTTTTTAACCGCTTGCATCAGATGTGGTTATGCCTGCATTCTCCACCATTTGTGGAGGGCAGGGCTTGGGCTCCCTTAAGTCCTCTCCAGACCCCACTTCCAGTCCTTTATAATGTCTTCCTCCCCTGTCGATTGACGCTCAAGGGTGGAGGGGTTCTTCAAGGAAACAAACCAAAGAAAAGTCCGCTCCCCTCTTACTTCCCTTATGAGATAGAGGAGTCTGTACGAAAATGGAGAGGCAAGGGTGACCTGGATATCAGGCAGTTTTCCTGGATCAGCCCTTTAGGCTTTCTCTAAAATGGAGTCTACCACCAGCCCCTCCTCTTGGGGCATACTGCTTTGAGGCTGGGTCATGAAGTTTGGGAGTAGTGAGGCCCGCTATCTCCCTCTTGGGGGCCTGTCTCAGCTTTCTGAAGTGGGGAAAGCTCTCTTCCTGTTCACCGCCTCTTCCTGTGGCAGGTTTTCCCTTTTAAGCTCCCCCACCACCGGGCAGGACAAACCTTGCAGGTGCACCTCATTGGTGTTGAACAGGCCCAGAAGAGCTCCTTAGTCTCCTCTCAGCCAGAGTGAGGGCATGTCCCTTCACACTCCCATTGCCTCAGTTCAGATCAGGTGGTTTGCTTTTGTTGGTGGTTCCCATAACTTCATTGTTTTAGACCACTGGCTAGGCATTCTTATTTGAGGGCTCTACCCGTGGAACTCACTCCTGATGGTTTGAGTCTGGCCAGAGTCTGGGTTTGGCAAGCTTCAGGTCACAATGAGTGGTGTGGATATATAGAGCAGCCTTTAAATAATCTCCTCAGCAGGCTATGATGTATTAATTTATGCTTAATTATCTCATATTCTGACTATTTTATGGTAAATGGTTAATTGTTACAACATCCTGATGCTACAGCAATGGGCACTGTATAAAAATACATAAATAATGCATGAATTGTTATTGATTCATTTTGGTGCCTGGCACTTCCCCTGCAAATTTGTGTAGTGATATTTTTTTTCAATACTGTCAGACTCCTTAGCCTTTCATTAAAACTAAAGTAAGCTCAGTTATAGAGTTGTGGTGATTTGTGGATGAAGCTTGACATATACTGTAATGAATAGTTCAGTGGGAATAACCAAATAGCCTATCTGTCAAATGGAGCACTGTGTCAAATACCTTTATCATCACCTCTATTGTCGTGGTCACCTGAATGTAGCATTTCCTACTGAAAAGGGACAGAATTGTATCTAAATATTCATGACCAAACTGCTAATCTCCCAACAATTATGATAAATGAGTCTCATTTTAGGAACAACATTTGTATAATGTGTAATCGTTTTTTCTCTCCTTAGCCTTGGTGGAGGCCCAGATGACGCAAAAGAAATTATGCGACATAGTTTTTTTGTTGGAGTAAACTGGCAAGATGTATATGATAAAAAGGTAGGTCTTTATATGGCATGGAATATTCTGGCTTCTGCGCGATAATCAATTGAAACTATTACTGAACTTCTAGTTTCTAAAATTATACATAAATTACTTTGCCACTTTTTGATATTATTAGTATACTAATAGCCAATTTAATTATTTATAGTTTTAATATACTACTAATAACTTGGAAATATTCTAAATCCAAAGTGTGCCAAAAATAAACTAGAATCACTTAAGATTTTCCGTTAATTGTTTAAATGTCTAAGTCCCCTCCTCCCCCCCTTCTTTTGGCCTATAACTTTAACCAAAAAACGAAGAGGAAAAAAAAGTCAGTGATGATGCGTGAGAAAGTGTGAACACTGTGTTTCTGAATTGACTCTCATTTTCTTTCAACTCCATACACCGGCAAAGAAGTATTATTTAATTATACATATTTATGTGGAGTCAGTAGTTATATTCTGTATCATTGTTTCCTTTTTTAGGACCACATTATGTTGTTAACAGAAACTGTATTCAAAATTGGACCATTATAATTATGAAATTTTTAAAAAAATTTTTGAAAAAGACTGTCATCATTTAAATACTGAATCCTTCTTGAAAAGGATACACAGCAAGTAGGCATTTTCTGATGTCTTTGTACCCAGCAGAAGCCTTTCTTTGAGATGGGTTGTAAAAGAGAATCTAACAAAACTAGTGTGGTATTAAAATACTGAGCCAAAATCACTCATGATGTAAGTGGTACAACCCCATTAACGTCAATGACATTGCGCATGTTTACTCTAGTGAGTTAATTTCGCTCACTTTGTATAATTCTATGCCTGTTACTGTGATCCTGGACATTTCTCAGGTGATTTCTAGATAGAAGATGGTTAGTTTATTTTCCCTTTAGAAGTGAAACTGAGTTTGATTTAAGCTGTTTTATAAACTGACTGTGTAGATTCAGACATTTTTGTAGTATTTGAGGTAACTTATGTATTGTTATAGGTCTCCGGTATTCTAACAGGATCATTTGGCATCCCTGCCAACTGATCTACCTGCCAAATAAGTCATATCTTTTATAAGTTACATTGTCTTTCCTATTTGTTTCTGCTCAAATTAAGGGAGGATCAAAAACACATGCAGGGACAGAACATGTTTGTCTGGCTATGCCGAAAGAATGACAGGAGACATTAGATATGGGTTTAATCAGGCCGCAATTTTATTATTGACAGATGTCTGGGACTAACCCGGCGGATAAAAATGTGTACAGTGCAGGTGCAAAATGTATGTCCCTCCAGCAGATTTACTGCCGGGACCTTACCAATTCCAGCCAATTCCGGGGGGGAGGGGTCTTCCACAGCTCCCCCCTATTTATCCAGGTCCCTCCAGCAATTCCCTTGCTGGGACCTTACCGACCACGCCCCCTCGTAGGAGGGGGTTAAGATGGACTGTAAGGATGGGGGGGTTGGCTCCATGCTGTACCAGTCATAGGAGCCCCCAACTGCCCCCGGCTTGCTCAATTACCAAGCACCTCTCCTTAATTCCTTTTCCAAGCCATTTTTTTGTTCTTTTGAGCCTTAATTTATGGAGTACCTGCACTGAACATCTGCCACAAGGAGGCGTATTCTGAGTAAAGAGGGAGAGGCCAGGCCCAACTGACCTTTTAAACCCCACATTCCTATGTGGTGAGTCATTTACCACTCTGATTGCTCTTTCCAGCAGATTTATGTCTTCCCTCCTCCCCCAAGCCAGAAAGCATTGCCTTCTTCTCCCGGCCAGCCAGACAACTCAGACAAACTGCTTAAGTGCAGGGTGGTGATTGTGCTGCTGTGACATATTTTTCACTTGTTGGTATGTGAGGATTTGAAAACTCGAATTTGTGATTGGTGTGGTATTTCTTTGGCAAACAAGAAAACCTGAACAAGAAACCTGTGTGATATTAAGACTAACACTGTACTGTACTGTATCTTGCTATGTCTCTTTTCATGGGTTACTATAATATAGAGCTCTTTTCCCCCTACTTTGTGATGACTTGGCAGTTTTGGTTTGTTGTTTACCATTTTTATGTTACAAATTCATATTTCCGCAAAGCTGATTGCAAGATATTTGCTGCCACAAGAATATCTAAACCTAAATGTTATCTGACAGAACCTTAACCATGATGTTACTGTCAGTCAACCATAATATTGCAAGAACCTTTAGAATGATAATTAGAACAAATAAATTTATCAAGTGATGTAATGTGCTCAGGTATTTAAGACAAAATCTCCTTCACTTCTAAAGGAAATTTTGGTTGCCCCTGCAAGAGTATAGTTAAAAATATGCCAGAGAAAATGTAATATGGGGGACCCTCAAAGGAATTGTTTTTTTTAACATTTAAGTTAAAAGTATTTGTGTTGCAAACTATTTAAAGGTATAAATACAGGGGCGTTCTGAGTGGGAAACAAGGGAAAAATGGTGCCAAACTAACTTCAAGGGTCTTTCTCAACTAAACTAGAAAAAAGAAAAATCAAATTTAAGGACAATGGACTTGATTCTGCATGGCGCTGAGCACTCTGGCCCTGATCCAGACACGCAGTTGTGCATGTACTTAACTTTAAGCATGTGCTTCAATTCCTTGCAAGTCGATGAGACAGTGCTTCTCAATCAGGATCTGATCCTGCACCCGTTGAAATCACTGCAAGTGTTTTGTTTCAGAGGCAGTGGAAGCTTGCTTTGAATGGGGATTGGGTGGGTGGAAATGCATAGTGAAACCTAAATGTACGAAGCACCAAACTAGGCATGGGAAATGGGGAGAGTCGGGGAGAGCGGGAAGAAGTCAGGTATCTATGTAAGTCAGGGTGGATGCCCTGCTTGTAGAGTGAGGGAAGTCGTGTGTGTTAAGGCCAGGAAGGGGAGCAGGGTAGGTACCCTGCAGGGGGAATTGAGGTGTTAGGAGTAATAAAGGGAGTGTGAGGTGGTGCTCTGCATGGGGAATAAGGGGAGCTGAGGCTCCCAGGCCTGATCTTGGATGCTGCTACAGCCACGCCAGCCCCTCTGAGTCTCACTCCTGCCCTGCCTGAGTGCATGAAACAACTTGCTTAAGAATGAAATGTGGGGGCTAGGGTGGAAACGTAGCTCAGACCCCCATAATATTTCCATTGTGGTGGGTGCTAACTGCCGCTGCCCCTGGGAGTTGGATTGGGCCCTCAGTAGGGTCTTAAAATAGGAGTGATCCTAATCATTGTTTACCATTTCCATGACTGCATTGAGAAATTAAACCTGCTGATATGAGAAATGAAAATTGCTTAACTGAACAATTAAAAGATGATCTCCTTAGTTACAATACCTGCATGTGATGGATGTGTTAGGCACGATGATGCCAGGGGAAAAACAGAATCCTAAGCATATAAAATGTGTTTGTTTTACTGCAGCACACTCTTACTGGTTCTACTGGAAGGACTTATCCTAAATGTATGACCGCTTCCTCATTTTTGGGCTAGTGGAAAACGAAAAGGCATGTGCTTTTGTATATGTGTGCACTACATTCTCGTGCAGCTAACTTGCCATTTTTATTAGAAAAATGTGCATCTCTTTTTGTTCACCCAACTTCAACCTATTGTTATTAGAAACAAGATTATTTAACCTAAAACCTAAAGTTTATAAATGTTTCATGACAATAGGACACTACCTTGTTTGCCACAGTTAGTAACTCTGGCTGACCAACAGATGCAAATGAATGATTGGCTGTCTAATACTGCTGTCTAATTGGATCAGTTTGTTGACATTAACTGAATAATAATAATGTGCTGTAAAGTAGGCAAGAGCAGAGAAAGTCCTCGTTCTGAAATGAAAATTGAATAATAGTTATACATTTTGTTCTGATGTATTTATTTTTGGGAAGAAAAAAATCTCGAAGGCAAAGGAAAGAGAGTGACCTTGCTAGGCACTTCCTATGATCATCTCAATCCCGATAGAGTTGATTACTACATTTTTTTTTTTTTTTTTTTTTACTGTGTATGAGACTGAGAAACTGAATAGGCTGACAAAGTCTTATCTTAGTCTTCTTTTTAGATATAATTGAATGTGGAATTTTCTCTGACTCCTTTAGGACCATTTTTTGGAGTATTTATACTTTTATTTAGGCTAGAAGAAAAATTAATTTTTAAATTGTCAAATGTTGTTCCAGGGCCCCTGATTCAAGAGAGCACTTAAGCATGTGCTGAACTCTTATTGCTTAATACATACTTAAAGGCTTCGCTGAATCAGGGTTTAGGGAAGGGAGGTTAGAGTGGGAGAATTCCCACAGCTCTCTTTAGGCAATTTCTGTTTGAGAGTCATACTTCAGTGTAATTGCCTGCAACATCATCATAAACATTGCAAAATAGATCTTCTCAATTCTCTTTTTTGTTGCTTCTGTGCAAAGTAGTAAAAGGATCAGAAAATGGTTAACAGTCTGATCTTTTCATTGGATTTCCAATGGTATTTAAATTATATGCACAAAACCTACTTATTAGCAAAATAATGCCAGCTGACTGAATTTACATGACATAAAGAAACCACAAAAAGCATTTTGGATTCTTATGGATGTTGGTTTTAATTAGTTATGGAGGTTCCAATCGCTTTTTGCCCATTATATCAACAGTTTAAAAAAACAAAACAAAATCTTTATGGTCAGTAAAGGAAAACCAACATTTTAAAGGACACACTGACAATATATTTTTCAAAATGTTAAAATATCACTATGATAATCCATTGGAAACATTAAGGTGAAATCTTGTTCTTTACCAAAACACTTTCCCTCCATTGTATTCATACACTGTTTTGTTATTGAAAGTTTGCTCAGATAGGTATTGAGCTGTTAGCATTTACTTACTTTTTAAAGGAGCATTGAAAAAATTGTTTTGGAAAGAACACAAGAGAACTACACAGTCTTTGCAGACATATGTAAAGAAAAACATCAAAAAGGTAGGTCAGATTTTGGGACTACCAACTTTGACAGTGTCCCTTTTAAAATGTATTGGTGTATTGCTATGTACAGTGATTTGGCTAAT